CGCGATCCCGGGGAAGCGGCTTCACACTCTGCAGCGTTGTCCCGTCTGGGAACGAAGTTAGGAGCCTTTTCCCCAGCTACGGGAGACATGAGAGACCCACACTGTTTCGAGAGCTTTTCCTACAAAGTGACCGAGGCGGAGGTGCCCTGGCTGAGCTGGAGCCACACGGCTCGGCTTCCATGCTTCCCTCCCCAGCTCTGCTGGCATCAACTCTGGTTTAGCTCCCGCTACCCACACTAGTGCCCATTGCTCTGGCTCATTCGTGTCCCTGTGCCCGGCTCACTGCAGCAGATTTTTTGCGACTCTTCCATTCCACACGCTCTCCCAGGCTCCTCTAGAGCTAAAGCCCGGTCTCAGTACGGCTCGACTGTGGACCTGGGTGGGAGCTGCGCTGCGCTCTGCCCACTGCGGTGACCACAAACGTGGGGCAGGTTGGGATCACGCTGTGCTGCCGCAAACCGAAGCACGGGAGGCAGGAGGGAGGTGGTTTGCTGGCTGAACACAGTGAAATCCTTTCTTCCAGTACTGAGGTGGTCAGGTGCTAAGCAGAAAAGTTAAGTATCAGTGAAAAGAGCAATTTCCTGAAATGCTAATCCACGGCACTAAGTTGTTGTGTTTTGGCTTTGGTTTATTTGGGATTTTTGGCGTACTAGATTTCATTTTGACATTGTATTTAAGTTCTCTACTCCTGCCTGAAAGGAGGCTGTGGTGAGGTGGAGCTCAATCTCTTCTCCCAGGTAACAAGCAACAGGACGAGAGGAAATGACCTCAAGTGTTGCACCAGAGGAGGTTTTGATTGCATATAAGGAAAAATTTCTTCAATGCAAGCACGGTCAGGCATTGGCACTAGCTGCCCAGGGATGTACGGGAATCACAATCCCTGGAAGTGTTCAAAATGTGTGCATGTGCTACTTGGGGACATGGTTTAGTGGTGAATATGGCAATGTTAGTTTAACACTGCGCTCGATGATCTTAGAGGTGTTTGCCAACCTTCACGATTCCATGATCTTCTCCTACTTGAACTTTTTTGTAGTATTTTTTCTTTCCATGTCTTCTCTGTAAGTAAAACTGAGTTGCTGCACACATCTTTTGCTTTTATAGCCCATGACAGAACAGATGTAATTTTTAAAGGACTACTGAGAAAAGATAACTTAAAGCTTTTGTATTGCATACAAATTCACTTGTCCTGAGATGTTGACTTGGGAACACATCTGTTTTATAAAAAACCTTCTCAGAATGGTGAAGAAGAATTTTAGGAGATCAACAAGCCAAGAAGCTATGAGCCATCAGTTTCTGCAGTATATGGAAATCAGTGTTGCTGGTGTTAGACTCAGGAAGGAAAATGCAGTGTCTCTGCCTGAAATAAGTTCCATGGGAGATATTTGACCTTTATTAAAGTTACAAATGTATAGAAGTTATGTAGTTAGCTCCTCACCGTGGTATGATTTGAGACATCTATGCTATGGAGCCAGCAAGGAATAATATGATAAGCAAAGCTGTAATTTCGAGGGGTTTTTTCTTACCCTTTTTTCCTGTTCCAAGCCAGATCAGCCACAAGACTAAATAGAAATGAAGAATCTGCATTTTTCTTCAGTGGGAAGCCTGAACATCAGAAAACAACCCTCTCATCTCACTATTTAACATCCATGATTACAAAGGTTAAAAATGTCTAAATAAACATGTATCAGCTGCCGCTGCTGGCTAACATCAGTTTGCATTACCTGAGGTTACCAAACATTTTTCTGGAGAACAACAGCAGCCTTTCTCCAGTTTTTAAGGACTTTCACTTCATCTAAGAATACAGTGCTTGTCCCTAAGTAGGAGAAAATAACTAAGAATTCTGTAAAACAGGCTTCAAAAGAGGTCGTGTTAAAAAAAAAAAAAATCACATTTCTCATTTCTGGTTGCTTTATTTCACTTCATAACAAATCAAATAACTTTTCTTACAAATGAAGCATTTAATGTTTTAGATCAAGTAATTAAAGTAATTTGAGTAATCATGTAATTTGATTAAGTGTTTAAGTAAACTGCATGGATCATAGCAACTTTCAAGTCGAAGATCCTCACTAAAAAAGTTTCAACAAGTAAATCTCATCCTCAAAGTCAATTTCAAATCAACTGTCACAGATAATTTATCTATGTAAGCCTGAGCAACCAAAATATTTTTATTATTCCTTTGCACTAAACATGTAAGTCACCAGAGTCCTAGATTAGAGAAAGGTTACATATACCAGAAATGACTGCTAATTGTTGCTGTCAAAAGTAGCAAATGTAATATTGTTCTACTAGACAAAAATAAACCCTTTCAATGTGTGTGCTCCTAGGGATAAGTCAAGCAACAGCTTACGTCATAGTCTTTTCAAGGAGAGTTCTACAAATATTTGACACAATAATATTTTCTACCAAGGCAGGCTTCTTTCTTTAAGGAAAGATGGTATTTATTTTCTAAGTGTGGGCTGTTAAGTCTCTTTATTTTCCAAAACATACATTTCAATGTCAGAAAACAACTTTCTTCTTCTTCCCTTAACTGAATCATGCAGCCATGAGAAAGGAAAGGCATTGTACTGGTTAGAAAATCATGATTTTTTAACAAAATGTCTGTAAAGAACATAGGAAAACTTGCACCAATATACTTAAAAAGCTTGAACAATCCTGAGTGCTTAATAGCACATCAGCTCCACTCAGCTAAAATTAATGCAAGCGCAGAGCATGCATCACCTCCTCACTCCTACACACACCATTTCCATAAAATGGTGTGAACAGCCAGCCCAGACTGCAGAGGCTGAAGAGGGATTTCCTGGCACCGCGTGCCCATGGCCAAGCCACAGTCCTCCACACAAAGGTGTCGAGGCTCTGGCAGGGCTGCACAAGTTAGAAAATACAGTGTTATTTTCCCACAGAGCTTGAGCTAATAAGCAGAGATTGTACAGCTCAGGCGACGATGCAGACATTGGGGCGTCGCAGAGCCAAAAGCGCCATGGGGTCTGCAGGGTTTGTCAGCCTCTAAGCGGGACCTTGCTCGACTTCACAAGTCAGCCAAGTGTTCATACTTCACTTTTTTTATCCATGTTATACAGGTTATGTCAATAACAAAGATATTCCAGCAGCTTGTAGACCCCTTTACTTCCTGTGCTTCTCGAGACAGTGCCAAAGCCTGTGCCAAAGCATGGTCTCACAAGCTCTGCAAGGCTGTTACACTGTACATGTTGGGTAAGATGAATTTCTGCAGTGCAGTCTTTCACAGTTTCTACCAAGAGATCATGCAGTGAGCAGATACAGTTCAGCATAAAAACTAGTGCCTTGCTCTTCCTTTGGCATCTCAAAATGTACCATCTTACATATTAATAAACCAGAAATTAACACGGCAAATAAAAGAGCAGAAAAAAGAGCAAAAAAACTTTACCCTGCAGAACAACTGATTTGAAGACTATGTAGATTCTAAGCAAAACTACAATATTGCCAAAATAATAAGAATTCTTATTTATAGGTTTTTACTTAAGATTCAAGATGTATTTTTCAGCATGACCACAGAAAATCCCACCCCAAATTTACTATTCTAACCTTATTATCTTTGTCATGAATTTGTCTAGTCAGTCCTTGTATCCAACAAGGAGCTCCACTTCTGAAGGGATTTTGCAATAAACAGCTGCACAAAAAGAGAGACACACCATTGATTACTTAAACCCACTGAAATATTTTGAACACTGAAGATCATATATGATGAGACCATTTCTCTAAAGTAGACGATGTAGCTTGTTTAACAGCTTTGAACTGCACTTCCTCTCTTTCCTCACCCTCTCCCCTATCCTAAAAAGGCCTTATCTTTATTAACTATGCCTTACTTTGAAAGGCAATCCTCCAAGTCACCATTAGCTTAAAATATGCAATATCCTAATTCAGTGGTGACAACCTTTATTTGATTTTGCTGATATTAGCAAGAAGGCAACACAGCTGGTTTGGTTACTAAAGCCTCTGATTTTTATTTAAAAGCAAGTTTCAGGGCTTTACTAATGAGCATGGCAACATAAAGCAAGTCTTAATGATACATTTTATTGGGGTGAAAAAGCAAAAGCTTCAGAAATAGAAGCTCATTAGTGTTATTCTTCTCCTTTGCTTTTCCAACCCGCTCACTTATAGAAAACAGACTATTGTTGTTACTGGACTCTCCAGGTGATGTGTTTTAGACAGACATGCCAACTTTTTCTTTAGAGTGCAAGAGATGTTCCTAAGTGATAAGACAGACTCCCAGGCCTTTTTCTTTTCTATAGAGAAGGAAAACTCTGCCAGAGTGCTTCTGGCATAACCCCATTCATTTTTCCTGCAATGACAATTGACAGAGAATGAAAGCACCCTCTGGGACACGGAGGGTTCCGTTTCCTATGGCAGCAGGTTTGATTGGAAGCAAACCTAAATTATTCCACTTCAAAGGAGTGAATATGGAATAATTTTCTGGAATGTGAAAAACACACACATTAACCCAAACCAATCTTCACAAGAATCCTAAAGCGTTAAGATTGCTTAGCTAAAAAAACCAAACCCAAACCCAAAACCAAACAAGAAGATCAAACTTAAAACAACCACTATGTTACTGATTCAGGTATAGAAATTGGTCAACAGTACCTAAAGATCAGTGGGTGGAGTGGGAGGGATGGCACAGGGGAAGGCTATCAGATAGCATTCAGTAATGCCACCAGACAAACTTACAACAGATATTCCAGAAGGGGACAAAAGTATATGACTATCGTGGCTGCCTTAAAATCTCCAGTCTGTTTCTTGTTGCTAAACAAAACTTCATTACAACAATCATCCCTTTTCTATCATTTATTTCAGATAGGTGAGGTACTTCACATTGCTGTATTCACCTGTGTGTGCCCTCCACAGTCCTACCACATGAATTTCTTAATGTGCTTTTTCGGGGGGAAAAATCCCTGTAATTTTCCCACATATATAAATAGCAAACACTGGTTTAACTAAAGTTTTTTGACAATATATTAACATTATTAGACTTGAGAAACAAAGTGAAGTTTTATTCAAAATGTAAACATTGAGATAATTTTAAAATGTTAGTGCTCACCAACAATAAGAATAGTCCTTTTTCTGCCTATTTTCTTCCACATATTTATTTATAAATAATGCACTGAAAAAATGTTTTTGTCACGTGAGTCACCTGAAGAAGTTCTTATAGTATTCTTGCACCATTATAAATATAAGATGGAGATAGCCTCATACTCCAAGATTTCAGCCATCACCATACCACATACTCCACTCAGAATGTTACTTGTGCATGATACAAATGATAATCCTGCTCTGAAGCAGCTCATCATTATTACAAGGAAATATCACAGACAGTAAGTCCCAAAACTTTTAAGGGAGTGGAAGGGAAAAAACCCACCAAGATAAAAATCTTGCACAAAATGCATGCCTGTATAGAAATACCCAAAGTTGCTGTAGGAACAAGCAGCAAAATATAGCAAGGACAAATGCAAAGTTTATTCCACGTATGCTACAATTAGTCAAGATGTTAGGAAGTATCAAAATTTGTACTATTAACATATGGCAACAGTTTTATTCTTACAATACATTGCAGTAGAGTTGCCTCGCTGGAAAAGGCTTTTAAGCTGCAGACAGAGCAATTGCATTAAATCTTAATTCTTCTGGGTCACGTTCCATAAATTTCTTGCAAACTTCTATTGCATCCTAGGGGGAAAAAAAAGTACAAAGAAAACGAAAATGAAAAACAGTATAAATCATATTTGTTATAAAAAAACCAAACAAAACACAACTGAAATACGAAGATATGCTTTATCCAAACTATGCTCAAAATGGATTTTTCTATAAAGGTTTACTAAATAGTGTGACAAACCTACATAACTGGTATTTCTGATGTGAGTTACCACTACTCAAGATTGCTTAGTGCTCATATGGGCAGTCTAATAGAGAACATTTTTTATGAAGGACCTTAGCAATTATGATTTTTGTTACTGAATATTACTTAGTGCAGCAAATGTGTTGCTTTTCTGACTTTCTAAATGCATCTCTGAAGTTTGCCTTAACTAGTACTCCTGCCTTCAGAAATTTTTCCTTTGTTTCAAGATGAATCTAAGCTGGGTGGGGTAATTGAAAGATTTTAAGTAATTCCTTCATCTAGCTTTAGGGTGCAATCTGGAGAACACATGTTATCAGCAAAACAGGAAAAAGACTCATACGGAGTAAGGAAAGCTTTATCCAATTTCTTCCCCTGTCCAAGCAAGCACAAATGATTTGCAAACTTTACAGACATTAGTCTATGCTTCTAAACTATAAAATAATTTTGTACTTTGTTTGTTTTACTTTCTCTGTTTTCTTCCTTTTGTAATGCTAATCCAATCTGGATATCATAAAACTCAGTTCTATGCATTGCCTTCTCTCAACTTCAACTTTGCATCATTCTGTGGGGATGACAGTTTATCCTCCCAACTCAGTGTATCCCTTTCCAATTAATTTCTCAGCTCATGACACAAAGAAGCACCCAAAAGAAGCTGTGAAAATAGAGAAGAATGATTATTAGCAAGGGTGAGAAAGGAAATCAATTTCTGTCTAGTGTGACACCTATCAAACTATAAACCAAAGGAAAGAGAATGAAAAATTGTAAGTTTTCAATCTGCTACCTTCTTGTTAGATGTACTAATTGAAAGGAGCAGGAGTATATGAAAATCTAAGCACAGAAGATAAGTCAGTCTGATCTTGTAGTCAACCCTTATGATATTTGTTACGATACTCTGTCATCCACAGCCACAATGTAAGTGTTCCAAAGTATCTCTTTTCAAACCTCATTTGGCCTCACCATCCCACTTGCTCTACTCCTCATCCAACTATAAATACAGCTAGACTTGTATAGGTATTTTCATGTATCTATTTTATAAATTTTATAGAAATACAGCAAGAATTTAATATAACACCGTTTGAGAAGGTTCCCTATGCCTACCTCTAAAAAAGAATCGTCACTGGTTTCCCCATGGTTTATTGGAAATGGCTTGCGCCCATCTGTTGAAAGACAAAGTGGATTGAATAACACATTTATAAAATTATAAAAGTTTCATTTTTCCAGTGAAAACTATTTAAACACATCTTTTGTACTTCACTTTCCAAAATGTTATCTCATTTTTCATAAAGTTCACACACGCAGCTAGCTGCTCCCTGGTCTCTCCACTGCTGACTACTTCTACCAGTATCATTATATACAGTCTGTTGCTTTTAAAAAATAATCCAATCAAAATTATGAAATATTTTTCAATATTTAATTTGAAAGCTTCAAAGCTGTAAGTTGCTGTTGGTTTAGTGCTGGTATAGTACTTCAGGTTTTCAAGTAGAGTAGAAAAATTTCAGCTACACTTGATGGATTTACACAGACAGACAGCTGTATGTCTGTGGTGTTTGACAGCTGTGATCAGGGACTCCACAACAGACCAGAGTAGCAAACCCACCATTCTGAAGAGTCTGGCATCACTGAAAATACTTCTGTCAATTAAAATAAATTAGCAAACAAACCCAACAGCTCTAAGTATTTTCACAGCATTTAAACAGGATTGCTATGGTTATTTTTCTTTTATAGTTTTTTTTTTTCTTGTATTTCCAATAGAATAATGCTTGTCATTCTCATTAAAAAGAATTTCATTCATATAAATGCTTCAGGTTACTTGCAACGAGTTAACAGTATGAAAACTTATGTCAGGGTATCTTAAGTATTTGCTAAACCAAAATCACTTTTGGCTCTGTCTTCCCTGTAGAAGACTTTTCCCTCCCCAAAGATGCCACCAAAGTTGACAACACTTCCAAACTACATTTTCCATAACTAAAAATAGATTTGGTGTTAGAAAACATTTGGATTTATATGAACAAGATGTTGTTCATTACTGTAACTACCATGGTTGAAGATACAAGGCAAAACCCTCAGAAAATGCCAGGGAAACAGAACTGAATACCCTGCACTGTTGCAAGCTAAGTTTACCTTAATTTTGGGGCTTTTTAATGTCCATATTGGCAGAACAACATTTTAATTTCATGTGTCTATAAATAATGTGTTTTCTATGACAGAAACATCATATTCATCTAATATCCATGCGCTTCCTTAGCATTTTCTGCATGCCAAAGACCACATGCTGCCCACACTGTCTGAAGCCAGTGAATCAATTGAAAAACCTTCAATTTTTCTACTTTTACGTTGGGGGTTTTTTGCTTCCTTCCCTGGTACAGAGAGAAGTTATTTTAATAACAAAAGAAATAGTACTGTTGACATTCCACTGTACAGCAGAGCTAAATGCCTCTTCTCCTTCTAATTTTTTATTTTTAGGAAAAATTCAAATGGGACTTCTCTCACATCTTACCTACAGAAAATGCGTAAACATGGTCATCATAGTATGCAGTCTGCTTTTTAAACAGCATAAGTTAATGGACAAGGAAAATGTATCACAGAAATAGTAGCACACAACCAAAAAAAAAAAAATGAAAGTCATCCCTTATGCCTTGAAATTTAGAGCCATAAAATATTTATTGCATCCTACAGTACTTGCCTTTTTGATCTAGTCCACTGACATATGCAGCATCATAAAATACAAAAAATGTGTGCCTATTGGTTATGACTTATCCCTGGTAATACCCCTTAGATCAACTTAATACTAACATGAGCTATTCTTATATATTGCTTATGCCCATGTTGTGATTATTTATCATCTGTTAACGGCATTGCTTAATTACATGCTGATTTTCTAAAGATGAAAGTCTTATCACCATAAAATACTGTAAAAATTATGTTAGGAAAGATCAGTGACTTGCAGCTTTTAAATGCTCATCTGCTTGCTGGATTTGTGAGAAGTCTTCTGGAAAACCTAGTTGCCCAGCAACATATTTAAGATTGGAGTCATTAGAGAATATCTGAGCAAAACTAAGTGCTACACAATCTGAAGAGAGAAAAAATAGCTGTATTTCAAAAAATAAGGAGTACTGTTGCACAGTTAACTGTCTACTGAACACAAAAAGTAGAGGAAAAAATACCAGACTATTACAAACAAGTTGCACAGTGTTAATATCTCTTAGCACCCTGACTACATAATTTGAGTTTAAACATTATCACACTGCTTAATAATATAGCTAACATTTCTGAAGTGGCACACAGTTAATTTAATACTTCCACAAGCAGTTCAGGAACATAAATGTAACAAATGTCCTGGGAAATTTTGAGGTTTTATCCATTTTTCTTGCTTCTTGTCCTTTTAAATGCCCATAGAAGTTTGGATGCAGTCTAGTATTCTGTACCATTTTATCTTAATAGGATAGAGTTGAGGGAAGGAAAACAAACAAAAAACCCCTAATAAACAAACAAACAACCCCCCCCAAAAAAAATCCCCAAAAAACCAAGAAGAAGGCTGCAGTTGTTTGAAAGAAATCTCCAAACCCCTAAGACGCAGCTGAAAAGAACCTAAGCCCTACATAACATCAAGAAATCTCTGAAACTTTGACAGCTAACAGCATCACTACTTGCATTTGTTTCTAACAAATGAAGAGAACGGATAAAAAGTGTTCTTACCCAATTCATAGAGATGACCACCTACATTAACTAATGCAATAAAGTGAAGATCTACTTTTTCATCTATACTTGGCGCCTGCAAGACAAAACAAGACAAAAAGAAATTGTGCTTATTAAACTCTTATTGCTAAAGGATTAATGAGCACGTATCATCATCATATGCAAAATACCTGGAGACAAGAAATCACTATTGGGAAGCACATTCTGGATCTATACAGAATGGCAGAAGTCAAGAGAGGAACATTTTGGAATACAAAGAAACTGTCTGCAATGCATATATCAGTAAAAACCCATGCAGTAAAGTATCTGAAAGTATTTCTGATTATAGCTCTACATAAAAGCTCTAGTTTTCATTACTGAATTAGAAGTAAAATCAGCTCAAATACATAAATATCAAAAATAGACTTTCATATAAATAACAAATCCTTCACTAACCTATCTTCCATAACAAAGTGATGCAGGACTCAACTCTGAAACTGTAATATTTTAGTACTAAAAATATTCACTGGTCAAAATAATTTTTTCCTCATAAGCCAACCCCAGTTAACGAGTTTCCTCTTCACAGTCAGTCAAAACAAACACATCTTAGGTGGCGAGGAAAGATAATAACTAGAAGTGCCCAGACTGAATTTTCCAAGTGGCATCATACTCATCATACCCAGAAAGGACTCAAGTGCAGTGACAGCACCAAGTGACACGACATAAAAAATGTTTACAGTTAGTAAACATCTACCTAGCTCAGTACTGTGCGGGCAACTACAGCAAGCAGCAAAAGCTTTTGCAGGAGTTTGTGGGCATGTAGAGCATGGTGCTCCACCAACACACAGTCCCAGCACCCGCTGAGCAGTGGTGTTGGAACCTGTGAGTCAGAAGATCTATCATCACTTCTGAGCCAAAAGCTCTATCGCCACTGTTGTGTTCCATAGCAACTGATGGCGTTAATTCCTTATCAGTCTGTCCAGTCTGCATCTGAACAAAATTTAAGATGATACTGTTTTGAGCAAATGGGAAAAAGGACTTCAGGTTTTCTTCATTATCAAGAACCTGACTGTGTGAAAATGTATTTCATGTAATTTTCTTTCATCTTTTAATTACTGCTAGGCTTACATGAATTTTCTAAAAGACTCCAAAAATGTAAAAACTTGCTAAAAACAGATTAGAGTGTAAAATAAGTTGTAGAACCTCAAAGTCATACCATCTTTTAAAGACTGGGTTCAAAATTTCCTTTTTGGTGATGGCCATGAAAAAACTTTTTTTAAAAGATGACATAAATTGAAGAAATTTGGCAAACAACCAGAGCAACAGAGTGAAGGACAAGAAGTTACTACAAGTCCTTCAAATACATAAGAAGGCCAAAGAACACAGCTTTGTGGAGGAACTGCCAACAGCTTACAGAAATTCTCTGCAGCAAGCTCAAAGATAAGAAAAAAAGAGAAAGAAAACAAAAAAACACACATCTTCCCCTCACTCTCATTTAAGATTTATTTCCATGACCTGTTAGAAATGTGAAAGGCACAAACACCCTGTTTCATCATTGTTTCAGAGAGCCTAGAATGCAGAAAAGGCATTCTGGCCACTGAAGATGAGGCACCTGTCAAAGGGGCAAGAGGATCTTTCCACCAGAAATTCAAGCAGTCTAAGTGAAATGGCCTTAGATAATTTTGTTTCACAGAAGGCCAAAGAGAGCCAGGACTTAGCAAAACCAAACAACCCCAAGAACTTGACTACTTCAGATGCAAACTTCAAAGGACCACACGTTTCCATAAAACCACACAAGACAGCAGGTAACATTCAATGGCATCTTGTTGTTATTGCTATTGACCACCCAACTTTTTACAGACACCTAAACTGTAGTGCTACAAAAGTGTGCAAGTAGACAAGGCTGAGCATGCTTGTCAAATCCCACATTGTCACCTAATTCCCTTCATAGACATATCACTTCACAGCTGTTCAGTTATCAATCAAACATAAAAACTAAGAAATCTGGGTTTAAGAAATTTCAGGATTGGGGGAAGACCACTGCCAGTTAGTGTCACTTTAGGAAAGAGGTGGCTTAACAATTTAAAGCCTACATCTAAACATACTCTACCTGGGCTCAAGGTGACATGAAGTAGAAGAGTAAATCACTATTTTAGAGGACTTTGAGATGTTCAGGAGTTGATTTTTACCACATTTAGACAAAAGATATAGTTGCCCTTTTGACCATTTTAGGTGTTAAGTTCTTTGTCAAATTCTAATAAACACCCTTTCTCTAGAGAGACACCACTGGCATGCTTGGAATGCTGAGTCTATATATAGAAAGAAGATGAATAAATAAGCCATCAAAAAAAGTATGATTGACTTTTCATAAAGTTTACTTAGAGACAGACTCTATAGAATCCTGCTGAGTTTTTGTACAAGACTAATCTAAATAATATGCTTTCATTGTGCTATTGCCATAAACTGTGAGAAATGTTGTGTTTTTACATTTTTAATTCCCCAGCCTCAGAGAGAATGAAAATGCCATGCCATTATTAAGTTTTCTACCATATGTTCTAATGTAGGCAGTCTCCTTCCATTAAGATTTCTTTTCATCTAATCTAGATAGCAGTGAAGTTGATTTTTACATTTCTTCAAAAATTAGGATTTCAATAATTTTTGACAGAAAAAATATTTGCATAATCATAAGCACAGTGAAACAATAGGGTCTGAATAGTAACGATGACCTAAAACTTTGTATTATAAAAATCTGTTGCTTATAACTTAAGCAAACAAGCAACTGGATTAATCTTTCCCAATGCGATGAATCTGATTCAAAATCCCTCCACCCTCCCCTCCTTAGGGAAAAAGTCCCCAACACATCCATATGTGTGCAAGCACACTCACACACACACACACACACACACACAGACAGACACCACATGAAAAGCCTAGTTGGGCCAATTTCCATTTCACTGGGAAGTCCTAGAAATTCTAACACTTGAACCAGAAGACTTTAAATTTCAAAGGAATGGAAAAAAGTGGGAATGTCAGCTCCAGGGAGATGTTTTTTGTGGTCTCCTCAAAAAGCTACACCTTTGGCCAAGTTTTCAAGTTTCTAATAAAGTGTCTATGTGAATGCTTAAAAGAACAAGGAGCATAGCTTTAAGAAGTATTCCTGCACATTCATCATGAAGTAGTATTGCTTAGAACAGTTACAGAGGATTTTCTCTTGACTGCCTTTCTTGTCAAAGACCACAGTAACACAGACACCAAGCAAGTGTTCAGATGATCTGTTCCTCTAGATTTTTTCACTTAAAAGCCCAGTCAGTGTGCAAAAGGAAAAAGCACATTTGAAGGACCACATGTGTGTATGAACCACAAGGAGAAAGATATGGAAGTCTAAATAATGTGATTGTCTAATCAGGATTTGGAACTAACCTATGGGATTCAAGACTCATTTTTCAAGTATTCTGAAGAGTTGTCATGCTGAGTACTTGAAATTTCTACTTCTCTCCTATCCAGGAAAGACAGAAAGAGGACGACTACCAGCACTTTGAGTAGCTTACAAAGCTTACGTTATAGTTGCAATCATAGTATAAGAAGTAAGTTTTGGTAATTTGGGTCAGTAGACATAATTTTTCAAATTTATTTCTCCAAACTAAAAACATGCTGAAAAAAAAACAACCCAGAAGACTCAAAACTGATTTAAAAAAGAAAAATATAAGAAGTTCAGTGCTCAAAATTATGGTTCTGAGAACACAATCTCAAATGTAACTTTTTCCCAAAGAACTGATAATACAGAATATTTTCATGAATACTCAGTTGCACACAAAAAAGAGACAGCCAAGGTTATCTGCCCTCTAATTTTGGATACCAAATTAAAAGCACTTAAATATCAGAGTCCCTGTTTTTCAGAGGATTTGACTGCCTTCTCTGGTAACTTGGACATTCAAATTGAATACTAAACAAGTGCTTTATGAGAAATCAATTTGAATTGACTTGTCTCAGGTCAATACCCATTAGTTCATGCTATTGAAACAGAACCTCTACATTTCTTCCTGTCTTCACTAGCAGGTATCAAATCTGTAATTAAAACTGCATTTCCCAAAGTTTTTACAATATAAATTATAATCCTTTCTATACCTTCTTGTACTAAGAAATACCTTTAGTTTTACCTTTCACCAGTGCATGCTGCCCTTTCCTAATGAACTAAACCAGTCTTTCTAGTTTTTGCATTAACCTTCAGAAACTCAGTGGTACACCCCATATCACTGTTTGCCCAATCATATCAGCTTATCTAATAAAGTATATTTCATCACCTGTACAGTTTATCTTGCAATACACTTACACCATTATCCCAATCTAAAAGTTGGTATTCAGTTTTCATGCATGTGAAATCCTTTGATATTCAAATGTTGCTAAGTCAAGACATAACTGTTTGTCAAATTTTTGTGCAACTGGTTTCTTTTCCTAAGAACTTAATTTCTATGACAAACTTACAACTGAGGAAAAAAAATGGTCTTGCTCTCATGGATCCACTAAACAAGCCTTACCACATCCTGCTTAAAATGTATTTATGAAAGATCACATTATAAGAGCAGATTCAGTGTTACAAGACAGTTTTCAGGCAATTTCTTCCAACTACATATTGTATTTTTATTATTCCCTTACACTTGTTTTTGAAAGGAAGAAGCAAAGCAAGAAGCCTCACAAACCAGTTTAGTAGAATGCTTTGCAATACAGGTAGTGACTGGGAAAAGAAAAAGAAGTCACTTGGTATTAAGTCAAGAAACTGGCATCAAGAGTCTGTTAAGTTATGGAAGAATGCTGAATACTGATAGGGAAGAGACAATTTTGCAGAACCTTGAAGAATAAAAAAATTCAGATACATCCAACTGAAAGATCATGACAAAAGCACCTACAGTTTTAAGAGAAGAAAAAACCTTAGAGGTTTATCTATACAAGTTCAGTCACAAGGTATTACAAGAAGCCAAAGAAAAACATATCCAAAAAAGAAGACTACTAGGTATGGTTTAGATTCAATAAATTCTGAAGTAAAAGGGAAAAAGTGATGCAATTGCTGTTGAGTATATCAGACATCTGTAACTTCTGTTT